TACCAACATACCTATTGATGGGCACAATAGCCAACGCTATCAGGAAAGAGGAAAACAAAACAAACAAAAAATCATTATAATAATTCCTGTAATTTTATTAAATGGAGTTTATTGTGTAAGTGTTTCTTTGGCTTTGCGTTTGGGTTGAATACGAGTGGGTTGTGATAACGTGGTGTGTTTTTGTGAAGAAGGAGTTTTGTGTTTTTTAATTGTATTTATGGTGTTTCTTTGTTCCTGAGGTCGTATTTGTGAGGTTGCTTGGGTTTTTGGTGGAGATATTGCAGTATTTTGTGAGCCTGTGGTGCTGTTAAGGTTTTTGCGCTTCGGTTGTATACGAGTGGGTTGTTTCTGAGAAGAAGGAGTATTGCGTTTTTTAACTGTGCTAGGACGTGTAACTTTATTGGGTGGACCTGTCTTTGTAGTGCATGTTGCGTTACTTGTATTTATGGTGTTTCTTTGTTCTTGAAGTTGTATTTCTGTTGTTGCATGGGTTATTGGTGGAGACATTACAGTATTTTGTGAGCCTGTAGTGCTGTTAAGGTTGTTGCGTTTGGGTTGAGTACGAGTGGGTTGTGTTTGTGATAACGTGGTGTGTTTCTGAGAAGAAAGAGTATTGTGTTTTTTAGCTGTGCTAGGCCGTGTAACTTTATTGGGTGAGGGCGCCTTTGTAGTGCGTGTTGCGTTACTTGTATTTATTGCGTTTGTTTGTTCAGGAAGTTGTGTTTGTGTGGTTGGTTGAGTTAAGGTTGGAAATATTACAGTATGTTGTGTGTCATGTTGTGAGTCTAAAGTGCTGTTTAGGCTTTTGCGTTTGGGTTGAATACTAATGGGTGGTGATAATGTGGTTTGCTTCAGAGGTGAATCTCTGATTGTAGTATATGTTGTATCATTTGTTGTACCTACTTGTTTGTTCGGTAAGTTGTATTTGTGTGTTTGTTTGGGTTAGAGGTGGAGATATTACAGTATGTTGTGTACCGTGTTGTGAGCGAGTACTGTTGTTTACATGTATACGTTGTGGATCATTTCTGTATGTAGTATCTTGTGTTATGTTTAGAAATTTACGAACAATATGGCATGTGTTGATAATGATTGCTTTTTGTAAATGTTTGTATGTGTTTTTGTCTAAACCTAATAGTTGTAAATTGTGGTGTATTGTCTTTGGTATAACTCCAGTAGCACTAAGAATAATGGGAACTATAACAGTAGATTTCATTCTCCACTGCGTCTTAAGCTCGATAGCTATATCGGTGTATTTGCGGTGTTTTTCTGCATGTGTTTTAGTTAAGTTGTTAGTGTTGGGGATGGCAATGTCTATAATACAAATGGATTTTTGTGCTTTATCTATAAGTGTAATGTCTGGTCTATTATTGTGGATAGTTTTGTCTGTGAGTAGTGTCCTGACCCAATATAATTTGTGTGTGTTGTTTTCGAGTATGATCTGTGGCGTGTATTTGTAGTATGGTGTCGTATCTGTTATGAGATTGTGTTTAAGTGCTAATTTTTGATGTATGATTTTAGCTACCTGATCGACGATCGTGTCGATGTTTGTATTCAGTTTGTGCAAGTCGTGTGCATGCCGATATTATATGTTGGATTGTTTCTGATGTTTGTGAACAGAGTCGACAAGAATCGTTTGTCACTGTTTTGTCTTTATGTATGTGTTTTTTATAGTTGCGTGTGTTAATGACCTGGTCTTGTATTGCTAACATGAAACCCTCAGTCTCCGGGAAGATATCACATTCAGACAACCAAGTGTGCGTTGCTATAGAGTCAACACAATCCTGGCTAACCTCTTGTGGAAATCGTCCATGTAAAGGCTTTTGGTTCCATGTCTGTATGTTATTTGTGATGTATGTAAGTTTGGATGTGGGTGGGAGTACATTAGTTTCGTGTAGGTTAAGTGGTGTGTAAGATTTGTCTGCATATGATACTGTTTTGTGTAAGACTGAAGTATCTGATTTGTTATAAAAGTATTGTCGTAAATTGTGTATTTGTGTTTGGTGTAATAGTTTTATATCTGTAAGTCCTCTACCTCCTTCCGAACGAGGAAGGTAAAGTCGTATAGTGGAGGCGTGAGGGTGATGTATATGGTGTTTTGTTAATAGTGTACGTGTGTTTCTCTGTATTTGTTCTAAATCTGTATTTGTCCAACGTATAATCCCGAAAGAGTATGTAAGCACTGGTATGGCATAAGTGTTAATAGCTTTGATTGTATTTCTATCGTGTAATTTTGTTTTAAGTATACTGCTTACTCTTTGTAGGTATTGTGTGATAAGTGTTTGTTTTATACTCGTATGTTTAATATGTGTATTTTGCTGAAAACCAAGATACTTATAAGTTTCATTCTCGTCCATGGCATTTATTAAATTACCCTGTTCTAGCTCATAATCTAAAAGTTGTCTTTTACCAGCTGTGATGTGTTGTGTTTTACATTTATCAATTCCAAAGTCCATTTGTATGTCACGTGAGAATGTTTCGGTAATGTGTAGAAGGTGATTAAGTTTTATGCTTGTGGAAGAGTATAATTTTAAGATCGTCCATGTAAAACAGGTGTGTAATGTTGTGATGTATTTCGTGGTTGTGTTTAATATTGTACCCAAAGTTAGTAGTGTTTAACAAATGTGAAAGTGGGTTAAGAGCAAGACAAAACCAGAGCGGACTTAAAGAATCGCCTTGAAAAATTCCTCTTTTAATTTGTATTGGGTCAGTAATAAGTTTTGTGTCGTTTAGTGTAAGTGTTAACGTAGTGTTCCAACATGACATTATGTAATTGAGGAATTGTGTAATATTGTTGCTGACCTTGTATATTGAGAGTACTTGTTGTAACCAAGAGTGTGGTACTGAATCGAATGCTTTTTGTAATCAATGTATGCAGTGTGTATGTTTCGTTTGTTATGTCTGGATTGTTCAAGTATAACAGAGTCTATAATGAGTTGCTCTTTACATCCTCTGGAATACTTGGTACACCCTTTTTGTTCTTCGTATAGAATGTTGTTATCAGTACAGTGTTGGTATATTTTGTTTGTAATGCATGATGTAAGGATTTTGTATATTGTAGGAAGGCATGTAATTGGTCTATATTTAGATGGGTCTTGCGTATTGTTGTCTTTTGGGAGCATGTAAGTGATACCTTGTGTAAAGAATGCAGGAGTGCGATCTGGTGAATTAAGAAGTTCAGTAAATTGTTCCGCAAGGTAAGAGTGAGTGTAGGTAAAATATTTCCACCAAAAGTTGTGAATGTTATCAATGCCTGGACTTTTCCAGTTATGTAAGTGATTAATAGTTTCAATGATGTCTGTTGTAGTGATGTTTGTGTTATTCATAGGGGTAATGTATTCAGTGCGTGTGGTTTCTGTGGTAATCCACGGGGCGTGTGGATTTGTTTAATGTCTTTGGTCCATAAGTCAGACCAGTATTGCTGGAGTGAGTGTAGAGATGGTGGAATGAGTTTTTCATTAGTGCTGTTTTGTGTTAGTGATCTGTAAAATAGTTTTTCGTTATGTTTAAATTGTGTGTTATGGCGCTTTCTGTCTGCAGTTTCCCTATAGCGTTTTAAACGGTTTGTGTATATTGATAGTTTTTGTGTGAGTGTATCTCTATGTTCGTTATAGTTTGTATTTTGTTCTCGTGTGGTGTGATTGTTTAGTTTTGTAGTTATGTGTTGTACTTGTCGTGTTAGTTTTGAAGAACGAGTTCCTTGTATGTATTGTGTAATTCGACCCAAGTCACGTCTGATGTCATCGATGCGATTAATCAGGCGTTTTTCCCAAGCCGGGGGTGAGCGTTTTTTTGTTGTGTGGTGTTCTTTGTTGTTATTATTCTTGAACCGTTACATCTAGAAACTGCAACCGCACCGCAATACACAACAAAGTGTAGTTGATGTAAGCTTGTGTTATCGTTAATGTAATTTGGTAAAATGTGATCATTTAGTGTTTTTGAGAGTGTGCGTAATTTTGTAGTGTGACTTTGTTTAGGTATTCGTGCTCTTTGTGTTGGGTCAGTGTTTGAGAATTCTAACAATGCATTGTCGAATTCTTTTTGAAGGGATGTGAGTGTTTGGTTCGTGTGATTATTTGTATCTATCGATTGCTGGAGTGTCGCAAATGTCTGTATTTCAGAGTTGTTTAGAACGGACGTATTATCTTGTACGGCGAGTGTGTTGTTTGTGTTGAGTAGTGCTTCAATTTCGTGCCTGATTTGTTCCTGTGTGTCTAATGTAAGGAGTGTATTTTTAAGGATAACTCTACGTTGGTCTGCAATGCGTTGTTCTGTCAAGTGTGCTAAATGTGGGTATTGTGTAATGAACGCGTGATATAGTTTACCTCTGTATGCTGTCCTGTCCGTTTCCATCTTCGTGATCTCCAGATACGTACCGAAAATGAAGCGATTCATCCCTTCGTCCCATTTCATACGTCTTTTGGAGGTATCCTTTGCGCTGGTCCCATCCACAAGCGGTTGAGAAGCAGGCACAAAGGTCTCTTCATGGCGGTCCTCTTCAGGTGGTCGTTGTTCTCTTCGTAGTCTTCTTTCGGCTGTAGAGGTTTCGGGTATCCCGACGAGCGGCCGCCTGTTCACCAACTCGTCACTATCGGCTCGCATGCTGCAACGCCCAGCGATAGCTCCAGACGTGCCCTGACGCTCCTCAGGTAGCGGCATTTTTCCGAGGCTTTGTTTAAACTCCATTTTCATAAGAATATGGGGTGACTAGGAACACGTGAAGGCGTCACTCTTCAAGATATTCGCGTAAGCAAATATCCACCTGCGTGTTGTGTATAATGTAGGAAAGTAGGGAACATGGGCGTGGGAGTTGGAAAGTAAAGTGGGTAGGTAAGTACTAAAGGTGGTTGGACTTGTCACCTTTAGTGCCCATTGATCGCCTTTTACGATCTCTATGGTGAGAGTGGGCCTATTCTATCCCCGAACCCACAGAGGGTATTATTATTATTATTATTATTATTATTATTTCAAAGGTTTTTCTTTGTTTGTTAATTTGTGTTGTTGCTACTTTCCCAGCAAACATCAAATTTTCTTTTTAGTTACAAAAAGCATAAAAACATGTTTCGTTGCTTTCAACACGATTATGCTGTATTATGTACATACTTACTTTAACTGGAGCATACATTTTAGGTTTCAGTTTTCTTTTATTTAGAAAGGTGCCATGGGTGCTATTTAAATCATAAATATAAAATCCTGCAGTATCTTTTTCAGTTGCTACAGCCCTATATTGTAAAACGGCATGATACCTAAAAGACTACCACAGTTAAAACAGAAGGGATCAGCCAACGCTACCCGTGCACAATACCTGGAAATTGTAGGATGAGCCATATAGATGTCGCAATTAACAGATCTGCCAAACACCCAGAATGGTTTTTTCATCAGATTAATTTGTTCAACTATGACACCTGATTTCAAAACTTCAAAAGTATAATCTTTGTCTGATTGTTGCGGTAAACCAGACCAAGATGGTTCTTTGTAAGGAAGTGCCTGGGCATTTTCACATAATTGTTCGGCAGGCGATTTTAACGGTTTTGCTAAAAAAAATGCCACATATTAACATTTGATACATTATTTTTAAAATTTTGGTATGTGCAAAATGTTGACAATGTCTAAGACATGTTAGTAATGTTTTAGACATGTCTGTAAATGTAAATTTGGTTTACACTTAGGTATACAGAGTGGACCAAACTAGACGCTGTCTTATGTTTTCGTCAATGATGGAAAAATACTGACCAGTTTCTCTCAGGTTCAATTTTAATGAGAAGGTGATCTTATCTTCAAGGCATTAAGTTACTCTGCGCAATCGTTGACACGCCCTGTACATCCTTATCTTGGACACAGTATATAATTAGGTATATAAAAAATATAGGTTGTGATACTCAATCAGCAGGGAAAAGAATGCAAAAAATTTATCATAATGTATATAAGATATACAGGATGTTACATTTAAAAAATACCATAACTTTAGGTCAAATCTCAGAGAGTGGTCCACTGGATTCTACGTACAAAATTTAAAGTAGGTCGTTTTTACCTTTTTTCCTTTTTTCCCAAAAAGTCAAACTTTTCGTTTTCACCCTGTACGACAGAAACAACCATAGCTTGCATGACTCTGTTTATGGTATTAAAACTTTCACAAAAAAGTGGCACAGGGTATCTAACTTTAAAAACAGCTGAGATACACTGCAGTTTCAACCAAAATAGGATGCATGGATTACTTTGAAACCTTACCTTGAAACTGGATTTCACTCATCCTTTACTAACGCCATCAACTTGTTCTACCCCAAAAACTGCTTTAAGAAAGTTGTTTTAGCAATCAAAGACTTCACAATTTGAGAAACACCCCCTAATAAGTTGCTGTTTGCTCCAGTAACTTGGGCATGGGAGACACTTGTCAGCATTTTCACGCAAATTTCCATAGGCAAGCATAGACTTCAATCTAATCTGTATACCTACCAATATAAACGGAAAAAAATTTTCCTCAGTGTCGTGACAATTATTCTCGCAATTACTTTTGTACCAACATTTCAAATATTGACAGTGAGAAAATGTAGCTTAATAAATTGAATGAACAGAGTAGTAATTGCTATGAATGCCGAGAGGCAGACAAAGTAATCATAATGACACATACAGTCCGTCCGTTAAGAAATGGCACAACAGCACTCCTCTACATTTAAATTTATTCAAAGCACGCGACTGCATATTTCCAGTGGCGACGTGAGATATAGTCGAGGACCCAGTTTATTAGGTAGGTATATTAACTACCGGTACGCGTCAACTCGCCAAGGGCGACTCGCCACCGACTGATTCGCCAACGGGACAACTCGCCAACGGGACAACGCGACAACTCGCCAACGGACGACTCGCCACTGCGACAACTCGCCAACGAAATATTTTTCCCTGTTTAATGTGTCATTCAAATAACGATGTGATTGCCAAATTTTCTGTTCAAATAATAATTTTCAGAAGATGTCGTTATATCAAAATGCAGTAGAAGCAGGTACATATAGGCGGTTGGGTCTTCATTCAAATATTGACTACAATTTTTCGATAAACTTTTTTATAAGATTAGGGAAATTGACTTGCATTTGTGAGATGCATTTGTATGACACATTAAACAGGGAAAAATATTTCGTTGGCGAGTTGTCGCAGTGGCAAGTCGTCCGTTGGCGAGTTGTCCCGTTGGCGAGTTGTCGCGTTGGCGAGTTGTCCCGTTGGCGAGTCAGTCGGTGGCGAGTGGTCCGGTGGCGAGTTGACCGTGTCCCATTAACTACTCTGAATTTTTCCAATACAGTGCAACCTCTTTACTTATGCTAATCCAGATGCACCAATCTCACAATGATATTGTATGTACGTAAATATACATATTTGTTTGTTTAAAAGTTTTCTTTACAATTACATGCCCATACATCTGTATTTTACGCAGTATTTTACCTATGCAGATGAATGTTCAGTTGTTATATATTTTTTCATGAGAATTTGTGCTGTTTTTAAATATAAAATTATTTGAACACATAAAATAAACGTGTCCAAGTTGTTAACATACATTCACGCAGTATAGCATACTATTAAGCAATCTGGATAATTCACTAATTCGGGCACATCTCTTGCATTTAATTGTCCAGTTTAAAGAGATAACACTGTATTAGAAAGCTGACCGCACAATTCACCTGCGCGACACGAGGCAAACTCTTAATCGGCAGACTGTATTGGAAATTATACATTACAGGACGGCTCAATTTAAATGAGAAATGAAAAAAGGTAGATTAATGAAATCACCCAGTAACGAAAACTTTTGAAATTATATACTTACAAGTAGGCTCTGGACTTTGCTCGGGATCTACTAATTGTTCACTTAGAGAGTTTTCAATTGTTTCTAAAGCAGGTTCGCTACTCTGTACTTTAATTTCACATTTGTCGGTAGTGTTGGGTGAAGCTGTATTAGAAGTCAACATTTTTCTAGGTAAACGTCCAATTTTACCTATTAAAATTGGTTTCTTAAATGTAGTCTTATTTGTTTCTACGCCCTGCGAACTTTCAGTTTCTGCTTTTGCCTCCATTTTACCAAATATATCACTGTCTGGAATGGAAAAGAGATAGTAACAACAAAAATGCAGATTTACAATCTTGATGTTGTTAATTGCCGTTCATCATTAGTTAATATAATGGTATGGGATATATCAGAACCGTAACTGCAACAGTGACAAAGAAAAAGCCAAATAGGCTATAGGTACTCTTCGCCTACATGCTAATGGAAATAGTAGTGTGATTTAATTATAAGAAAATTGCAATAGCTGTCTTAAAAAATACCTTCTAGTAAAAACAATGGTTTTTGGTTCTTCTCTTAGTTGATCATTGTAATTAACATCTTCAAATCAAGAAATTTAGAAACAGAAACGTCTGTAAAAATGTAAACACCTTCGAAGGTTTGGAGAATCGTAAAACTAAAACATAACCATATTATGATACATAACCTCAAAACTGAAAAGTCAAAGAAAAAATTATTGCTTGGTTGCCACATTTCGCCAAAATTCCTGTTTCATTTTGATGATCGTGATTCGACAAATGATTGGACCCAGGCAGTCGTAGTCTTGTCATTTCACAAAACGACTGTGACACAATTGTACTTTTTAGGGCTAATAAGCGATTTGAGATCGATAAATGGTATCCCGTATCGATCTAGAAGGGGATGGGAAACTACCCCATACGTCAAATTGTTCACGTTTCACTACATTATTAGGCCTCGAACTAGGCTTTTGGTGAAATGACGGATTTGACTAAAAGACTACGATATATATATATATATATGTTATTCTCAATATAGCCGAAATCGGACAGTGAGCCTAATGAATAAAAATCAAGCAATTACTTCAAGCAATTGCTTCTTAGCAAAAGCAATTGCTTGACTAGCAAAAGCTATAAGGAAAAGCAATTATTGCTAGATCTTGCTATGAATAAAATTTTGAAGCAAATGCTGCTTTTCTTACACTTCTCTAGGAATTGCTTATTCAATGCAAAGTTCAGACGTATTTTATCCACTCTTTCAGATTATTTTGTGCCGATTCATCGCGATTCATTTCGGCCCCGAATGTGCACTATAGGTAGGTGAAGTTACCAGCGTTAGTGTTACGTTTATGTGAAATAATTGTTTGTGACATGGCAGATTCGAGTGAAAATGAAGAATTTGTGAGTAGTGATGACGAAATTAAAGACAAGAATTTGATATTTGTCCACAAATTAAAGGAACATAAAATAGTTCTTAATAAATCACAAGTTCCGCAAGTTAAAGTACCTAGAAAAGGAGGCCGCTTTAATCGTCTTAGTCCAACAATAAGTATAAAGATATTTTTAACGTTTCACTTACAACAAAACAGTTGGCAAAGAAAATTAGTATAATATGAAGGCAGAGATAAAAAAAAGTTTGATGTTAATAAGACAGGCAACCATTGATCTATAAGCCGTGGGAAAAATTATTGTTAGAAATTTTGGATGTTCAGAAGAATCCCATCTTTAAAAAAATACCAGGTATTGTACCTATATACAATTTTTATATTTGTGTAGTCTATGTGGTACGTTAATTGTTTCTTTAAACAAAAAAAAACATAAATTTTTAGGCGCTGTGTCTGCTGGAACCGATGAAGATATACTACTTGATAAGCCCTGTTCAGCATCGAGTGGCCTTCTAGTCCCTGCAGCTGCAGCATGTAGTACTACTAGAAAGAAAGTGAAAATATCAAATACTTTATCTGAAACGGATGAAACAAAAACATTATCAACTGCTGAACTTCAACGATTAGTTTTATTAGAGCAGTTGAAATTGTGTCGTATGCAACAGGAAGAAATCCTCAAGAGACAATCTGATGATTTACTTCATGTAAGCAATGTTGTTGCGGAAAAAGGCAACGTATATATTTTGATTTATAGTCAGGGAACATAGATTCATAAAATCCGAACAGTATTATTATTTTGGTTCATCCATACTGATTTTGAAAGCTAAATATGATATTTTTATTTGGGTACGAGTTATAATTATAAGAATAAATTTTAAGTTGAAAATACGTATAAAACTGTGTATAAAATTTCTTTTAATTTTTTTTATATTTTATGTCTTCTAATGTTTAATTTATTTACCTGATTAAGATTTATACTTTTGAAAACGAGACTAAATTAAGATTAATTATACTTACATGATTATTGAAGAGTAGTTGCGTTGCTATTTCTCTTTTTTGCTGTCCTAGTTGACGAATCATATTTGATGTCAGATTGTTATTTTCTGCATTAATTTGAAAATTAGCTTCTTCATTTGAATAATCAAAATCTTCATCATTTAAATGTTTGGCGATATTATGAAGCACAACACAGGCAATTATCATCGATGGTATTTTGTCTAATTTATTCCTAATTTTATACTGCAGGATGGGAATATAGGGTAGCCATCGTCTCCTAATAATACACATTCTTCCGTGCTGTTTCTAAGGATGTTGTATATGTTAGAGTTTTTGAAAATTCTACTATCGTGCACAGAGCCTGGCCATTGGCAGTCTACACTTGTAAATACTTCTTGTGCATTATATTACAAGTTGCCTGCACATTAATGCTGGGGTATCCTTTTCAGTTTATATATTCATCACCGAATTCTTGAAACTTTGGGATCCTGACGTGTGTGCAGTCTATCACACCGATGGCATTTGGAAAGCGAGATCTCCCTGGCCACAAGCGTTTAGCTTCCACAACAGCTGCAGCACGTCTATGAAATTTAATAAAAATATTGGCCTTCCCCAAAACTGCATTCATTACAACAGTGGATGTCTTACAGATAGTAGTTTGGTGAACACCAAGTTCTTCAGCCACAGAATTTTGAAAACCCGGATCCGACAATTGCCGCAGAAAGATTTTCATCTTATTTATAGGTGATAGTACAGCCCCTCGCCTTTCACCAGTATCAGTCAAAAAATAATTTGCTAACCACTCAACATTTTCGCGGTCAAATCGATATAACTTTCTGAAATCATCGTCCCGGCAGTTTTTACGTAAATTGTATATTTTTCTTTTACGCACATTCATATATTCAGCCATAATTAAATGACACACAAATGATCAACGCACGTGTTATGCTGCAGTTTTAGCAAATGATGCAGGGATCACCCTACCTTACAAAATTTGAAAGCAATTGCTACACCAGAAAAAGCACTTGCTTAATTTATTCGTCAGATTTGCTTATATTTTTTAAGCAAAAGCTTTGACTAGAAACAATTCCTACAAAATTAAGCATTTGCTGAAAGCAAAAGCATTTACTTCATTTTTTATTCATTGGGTTGGAAGCAATTACCTACTTGGATTTTGTAAGCAAAAGCAATTGCTACATTTTTATTCATTAGGCTCAGTGTCCGAAATTCATACCCATAACGCGTTGTGAGCATCGCAGTTTACCTAGAATGCGATAAGAGTAAACGTTTCCGATGAACGGGTAAAAAAATTAACCGAAACGCGTTATGGGTACGTAAGTATATAATTCTTCACCCACAACCCGAAGCCAGTAAGTACTCATGTGCTCTTGCTTCGCGTTGTGGGGCCGTGGGGGTATATCTTGGTTTACTCACTTCGCGTTGCTTATATTACGAATTAGCCATTAACGCTTTTAAATGAAATCAGTGAATGTAAATGGCAAATCCAACTTTGTGCATGAAACAAAATTCCACTCCACAAATTACGCCACGTGACATGGGCAAAGGAAAGTACCCACACTCGTGCCTGATGTTTTGACATTTTGAAATCGTTCGATCTATGTCGTTAACTCGACAAATGAAATCTCATAAACTACGGCATCACCCTATGGATTTCTTACCAGTAGTGAAGGTAGCTAGCCTAGAAGTAGCAGCCGAATTTAATATTGGCTAAAGGTGTCGTCACTGCAAACAGGCCACTCCCCTGAAAACCACGCCCTATTTTGAATAGAAACTATTAAATCGGCTGCTCCTTTTTGGCTGCTAGCTTCACTACATCCCTAAGTATTTCACTACATCCCTATACAGTGTATAATTCTATTAATACAGCTGCTTACTTTTTGGCTGCTAGCTTCACTACATCCCTAAAGCGTAGAAATTCAAATAAATCGGCTGTCAGATTCACTATATTCCTATATATATATATATATATATAGTACCTACAAATTCCTATCAAAATGGCCCTAAAGGTACAGGAGCGACTTATTATACGAAAACACCTATTCGAAATTGCTCTCAAAACGGCCTTAAACGA